GGCCGGCGGAAGTAAAACGAGGGCGGCTCCGCCAGCGCAAGACCCGCAGAAACCACCAGGTGCGTGCGTGGTTTAGCGAATTCGCTGGTCCACCTCCTGTCTTCCCCTTCGGGAGTCGGGTTAGGCCCTCCCCCTCCCCCCCCCTTCCCCCTGGGTCTGGAACAGGGGGTTCGCCGCGCGCTAGTGGCGTCCAAGATGCTTTCCAGGATGGCGCAAAATAGCCCAAGATGGTTCAACAGAGCTTCTTACATGCCTCGAGAGGCCCCTGGACTGCCCCGCGACGGCTCCAAGTGGCCACGGAACCGCGCAATGGCGCTCCTGAGAACCCAGCATCCCTCCAAAACCTACATAACATCAGTGACTTTGTGTCTTATGTAACGCGTTGTCTGCTTCCGACGGGCGTCTGAGGCCTCGCAAGTGTTTCAAGAGGACCTTCGAGAACGCCAGGACGGCCCTACGAGAGCCGAATACTACTTCAAGAGACGCTTGTCCACACGATTGATGCCACATTGTGTTTTTGACCGATGGCCTCCAATAGTGCCCCTAGAAGGCCCCAGGAGAGCCCCACATGCATCCGAAATCGCCTCAATGAGCCCGCAGATGGTCCAAGAAAGCTGTCAATGCGCCCACGTACCGAACGATCTGCGAAGGCATCTACGGTCGATTCCTGGGCCTGCCCAGGCTGATCTCGATCTTCGGTTTGACGCCCCCCCCGTTCCACTGCGTGTTCCCACGCTTGCCTGATCAATGTAAGTGGTCAGAACATCGTTTCAAGGTGGGCTAAATAGGATGCGATAAGGGCCACCAGTTCAAGTCGCAGTACAGCCAACATGCTGTATACAATCGTCTTCAACACTCGTGTTTCTGAAACGATAGCTTCCCTGGCAGGCAAACAAATACAAAACCTGCACCGTTATACAACACACATAACCTACAGTCAGGGTGCTCGTATCCAGAACAGCGTGCACTCAGGACAGCGTATCTACAGAACCGCCAGGAGACACACATCAACGACGCGATTCCAGAAGCACGCGAAGGATTTACACACTCAGCAATACCGCGCAGCACAGTAGTCATCGATACCAATACTGCGGTGAAAATAAAGTTCTTTGAATGTTCCAGGTGCGCGTCGCGCAGGGCAGGGCGTCTCTGCGCGCGTCTGGTGACGCGCGCCCATGTGCTCGGCACTGCGGCCATGATGATGTAGTGCTCGAGGTCAGCGGCAACCGTCCCCATCGCGTCCATGGCGACGGCGTCGACGAGCCTCGATGCGATGACGACGATCTCACATGTGACAGTGATGGCGATTACTCTCGGGAATATCATGGCCATGACGGTTGCTGCCATGATGATGATCATGATCAAGATGATGATGATCATGATGCTGATAACTCCCCCTACCCCCCTGGACTCCTAGCAAAGACGAGATGTCAGGGCGGGGCGGGACTTGGGCGCGCCCTGAAAGCATATCAGTATTAATTCACCAAATCGAAATGTTGCAAGTCCCGTCTGTAATAATAGGTCGGGGCCAAATCCCACCCCCATGGCTAGTCCCGTCCCGCGAGCTTAAAGTCCCGGAACATCTCCAGGCGACCTCGCGCAGTTCAAGGACACTCTACTTCCCCTGATGTACCATGTACAAATACCACACGTCGGGAACCGATGCGCCAGTAAACCACACTCATACGATGCATCAAACACAGACGCCAATATCAGGCATCAAGCACATACCCAACACCGATACACCTAACACACACACACATACACACACACACGCGCGCGCGCACAGACACACACACACACACACACTGACCAGGAACATGCATAAATAGTGGGCGCTAAGCATACTCGCACACGAACCAACATCATATAACAAACATGTACACCAGCAGCGTACACCAATAACGCACATCAGCAACAGCGCACACCAGCAACACCCATCAGTGGCTTGCAACGATAACATACACATATATCAAACATCAGTCACATACCTCAAGGACCTGCACGATTAACACACATCACAAACATACGCTCAGACCAAGCATCACGAACCCAGGTTTAGGGCTATCATCAACTATATACACCAAGAACATGCATTCATGACAAAGCACAAGGCCAGACATACATTACTTACATAGGGAATGAACTGGCACCCGTAGTAGCATTCGCATGCATAATCAGCGCGGGTCGAGACCATACGTCAAGAGCGTCGAACTGGCAGACATGAGTATGACATGCAACGGACGTGCGCAATGAACAAACACGCGCATTCGCCTACGAAGCTACATAATGTGCATAGCGACCATGCGCAAACAATACTGTAATACAATAGACTGGCAAGTGCCAAGCGACACACTTCGAGACCATTCGTAGCAACTCCTTGGTGGGAAATCGCCAGAGGTTAAGTACCTTCCAATGATCATCCGAAGAAGAAAACAAGGGGAAGGAAGACACAGCCCCATGAGATGAGCCCACGACTGTCTGACCCTGCAGGCAGGCAGCAAATATTGGCGTCGTGCCCCTGCGCAGTTGCCGTATGCGGGAATGGCTGACTGTTGCTCCACCTCGGGCGCCCCACGACGCCACCGTCGAGGTGCACAAACGGTCGATGTAGAGAGGAACAGAGAGGAAGAGGCCTCGAGGAAGCCTCGTGGCTCAGAAGGCCCGTCCACGGGCCGCGAGCATGATCACGTATGTGGCACGACGGTCAAACCTGAGGAAGCGGGCACTGGGACGGGCGAGCTCAACCTGTATTCGTGCCGTCTTCAGTACCATTCGGCCGGCCGCTGCGTCTCCTTCGACACGGCCCTTGGAAGACAAATCGCGGCGACGGTTCAGGCAACAGCGAGGAGGAGGACGACGAGGAGGAGGGAAGCGGAGGAAGACTAGGAGGAGGGAGGAAGGAGGAGGAGGAGGAGCTCCTGCCCGTCCTCCTCCTCCACCTCCTCCACCTCCTCCTTGTCCTCATTCCTCCTCGTCCTCTACCTCTTCCTCCTGGTCATTCTCCTCGATCTCCTCGTTCTCCTCTTGCCCGGATCACTCCAGTCAGCACCTGGAGCGCGGAGGCGGGGCGCGCATGCGGCCCACGCCGGGGGCGGGAGCGCCCCTGGCGGCCGCGGGGGCGCCCCGGGCCAAAACTCGCAGCGGCTGCGCTGGGCCAGTCCGCGACGATCGGGGACCCACAGCGGCGGCGGCGGCGGCGGCAACGATGACGACGACGATCGACAACGACGACGACCGACCGACGACCGACGATGACTGACGATCGACGGGCGACGGGCGACCACCGACGGGCGAGGACCGAGCACGACGGACGATCGACGGGCGACGACGACGCCGGGCGACGACGACGACCACGACCGACGACGAACGGAGGAAGGAGACAGATTCCGACGCTTTCCGCTCTTCTCCCGGTATCCCTTCCGCCGCTCCAAGAGGCCCGGCGAGGCTGCGCGGCGAGGGGCCCAGCGAGGCCTTCCACCCTGGAATTTGCCCAATCCAGAGTAGAGGTTCGGCCTCCAAGATGCAGGGCTTCTTTTTTTTCCGGCGCAATTTTGGAGGGGAGGAGGGGGAGCGGACACAGCAGCACGATGACAAACTCGGCGACGTAAACGTGAAGCTGCTGAGCGACATCGCATGGCGTGCACGCGAACGGAACTGAGGCGTCCAGCCACCTCCTCGACGGGTCCTCTCGGTCATTCGCCGTCGCCAGCGCAGGACGGCCTGGACGAGCCAAGACAGCCCCTCAGGGTTTTGAGATGGCCCTTCTGACAAGACGCTGGCACGAAGAAGCGACAACGTCGGCGGCTTCGGGGTCTCCGAGAGGTGGCGGGCCTGGAAGACGTTCCAGCCACACGCGGGAGTGACCCTGGGCACGATATGCGCGGCTTCTGGGGGCCGCGGGGATGGGGCGAAGTACGCATCCAAGCACGCAGGCCGATGGCCAGGCGAGACACGCGACCGTGTGGCCGACTCTGGGCGCCCTGGGTGCGCCAGCGTTGATCTCTCTCGGGGCGCCCCCTGTGCTTCCGCCGACCCAGCGTCGACCTTGCGCTGGCTTCCGCTGGCGAAAAAAACAAAAAAACAAATAAAAAAAGAAAAAAAAAAAAAAAAAAAAAACAAAAAAAAAAAAAAAAAAAAACAAAAAAAACAAAAAAAAATATACAAAAAAAAAAAAAAAAAAAACAAAAACAAAAAAAAAACGAAAAAAAAAAAAAAGAAAGTCGGCCCTGTCTCACTTCGCCTGCCTCCGCCGGGACCGGGATCCAATGTCTGAAGAGAACGCCTTTCACGGGCGCCTGCCTTTGTAACATTCGGGAACAGTCGGCGGCACGTTTCAAAACCGGGGGTGGCCCCCCCCCCGACTCTCGGCGCTCGTCGATCACGCACCAGGGGACTCCCCTCCCCCCAACCCCCCCCCCGAACCCATCCCCCCCTCCCCTCCCAAGGAGGGGGGGGGTTCAACCCCCCCCCCTCGGCGCCAGCGCCGGCGCTGGCGGCCGCCAGCAGGGCCCACGGCGGGGACGCAGCGACGATGACCAGAGGCAGCCCAGGCGTGGGGGGGTTCAAACCCCCCCCCTCGGCGCCGGCGCTGGCGGCGGCCAGCAGCTCCGGCGCTGGCCACCAGCACCACCGCCACAACCACCACCACTACCAGCAGCACAACCCACCGCCACCACCACAAACCACCACACCACCAACCCACCACCACCACGCCACCACCACCACAACCAAAACGTCCCAAACCACCGCCACCACCACACCCACCACCACCACCACCACCACCACAAACCACCACCACCACCACCACAACCACAACCACCACACTCACCATCACACAACACCACCAAAAAACCACCACCACTACCACCACCACCACAGTATACCACACCACACCACCACCGCCACAACAACAAACACTACCAGCAGCACAACCCACCAACCACCACCAGAAACCACCACACACCACAACCACCACCGCCACACCACCACCACCACAGCACCACTCCAAAAGCCACCACCGGCAACAAGCACAACTCACCAACCACCATAAACACCACCACACTACCACAAACAACACCCACCACCACCACCACACACCACCACCACACCACCACAACACCACACCACACACCGCCCACAACCACCACACCACAAAAACCACCAGCACCACCCCACAACCGCCACCACCACCACCACCACCACCACCACAATCCACCACCACCACCACCACCCTCGTCCTCGTCGACGCTCCCCGCCACCGCCGCCCGCCGACGCAGGCGCCGGCGCCGGCCAAGAAATGGACATCGTCGTCCCCGCCGCCGCCGACCCAAGCGTAGCGCCCGCCGGAGGAGAGGGGAAGCAGGGAGGGGGGGGCGGGGTTCGAACACCCCCCCCGCCCCTCCGTCACGAGAGGGGAGGGGGTGTTCGAACCCCTCCCCCTCCATCCAGGGGCCGGGGGGGGGTCCGGTTCCAAACCCCTCCCCCCCTCCAAGCGACCACAGAATGCGCTCTTCTTTCCAATGTCTCGATCCCTGGAAAGCGAGGCCCTTTCTGGAGCGCCCAATGTGTATCCAGCTCCCGCCCAGGCCAGCCACGTCATGCACGCGCAGGGACTGGCAGCGCTCGGAGAAGCGATGGCGGGGAAACACGATCTGGCCAAAATCAGGACAGGTTCCCCCCTAACGCCTAGCACAGCATCCTCAATACTGCAAGAATCGAAGATTTTTGGCCAGGCCCCAAGAGGCCCCCACGAGGCCTCCAGGAGGCCTGTTGTCCTCGCTGCCGCGCGGCAAAGAAGCGTAGGAAGGCTCAACAATGCAACAGCCTCAGCGGGGCCCTGCGACAGTGGCTAGCGAGAGCGACCCACGAAGATGGAGAGAAATGGCGGCGGGGATGGATGCGTGCGGATTTCGCGCCGTCGTCGCGGCGGAGACGAGCCCTGCGGAATGTTCAGCCTTGAGAACGCCCGCGTCAGGCGCCGCCCCCCGCGTCGACGGCAACTGTTGCTCCCAAGCGATCCGCACCCCTCCCAGACACCACCCCTGTACCACTCTTTCCAGCTGCGCCCAGCCGCGGCCACGAGGCCCACTCCGAAGCCCCACCCAGAACCGCCAGAGTCTTCAAGCCGAGGCGCCGCCGCCTCGCCGAGGCGGCACGAGCCCACCGCGCACGAGGAGCAGCCGCCGCGCCGCAGGTGGAGGGCACGGGGTCGTCGCCGCGCTCGCCCGCGCTGGGCGCGCAGGGGGGGCGCCGAGCTCCGACGTCACGCCTCGTCTGCGGCGCTCTCCGCGCCGTCCTCGAGGTGGGACTCCTGCCGGGGGCGGCGCGCGTACCTCTCTGCCCTGGGGCCGAGCCGCTCCACCCGCGAGCCGCTTGGGCGGGACCGCCCCGCCCTCGCCGTGAGCCGCTTCGCCTGGTTCGCCGGTGCGCCCAGACAGCTTCGGCCAGACCGCCTCGCCCGCGCGCCACTTCGCCGGCGCACCGCTTCGTCGGAGTACCGCTTCGCCGCCCGCCCGCCCCGTCAGGGTCCGCCCGCTCGCCCGCCCATCAGCATCTGCCCGCCCGCCCGTCAAGGTCCGCCCGCCCGCCCTCGCTCGAGACTTCCTCGAAGCTCATGACCAGAAGCGCGCATATCAGCTACGCGGATGGGGGGCGGTCGTTTCCCAACACGGGGATCTCGCTGGACACCTTGTTGAATTTATGGCCATCCCTTTTCGCATTCCTGGCTACTCGCTGGAAGGATGCAGTGCACTTCTTTTTCAAAGCGGGCTCTCGCCTGGTATTTCAAGGTGGCGCTTCTGTTAGAGAAGTGGATATCTCGTAGGGCTTATGGGGAGGAGACTTGGAAGGGGAGGATGTATTGCAACTTCGTTGACGCATCTTGGGTTTACTCTGGTCCTCCTCTTCTCCTCCTCCTCCTCCTCCTCCTCCTGAACAACTCCCTGTCGCACCCCTAGACGTGTTGGTAGGGCGGGCCCGGCGTTTCGCCGAAGACTTCCTCACCACTAACGACCCTGAAGCTTGAAGTTTATAACAATTTCGCGGATGGAGAGGGAGCGTTTTCAAAATGTGGTTCTCGCCCTAGCGCCGCGCGCATTCGCTTTGAAAGTTCGCAACTTTTTCGCGGATGGAGGGCGGGTCGTTTTCAAAAGTGGCTCTCGTACTACTACCGCCGCGCACATTCGTTTAAACATCCAATTTCAACATGTGCCTCTGGCTTCAGTGCCGCGCACATTCGTTATGAAAATTCAAAATCGTGTGAAGGGTTCGCATGTCGAAGTCCGGGGAATGGTGCTCCGGCAGTATTAAGATTGCCAGAGCGCGACAGTCACGTTGACTCGCGGTGTTGAAGTCCCAGGAATAATGCTCTGGCACGAATTAAGGTTGTCAGGACGCAACATCCATGTTGACTCGCGACGCTGAAGTCCCAGGAATTGCATTTTGGCACGATTGAGGATTCTCAGACGTTTGTCTTCCAATGGATCATTTCCAGCAATGAATGCGAATTCTTGTAGGGCCCTATGAAGAGGGAATTTGGAGGGAGGGTGTCTTGCAATACTTTTGATGCGTCTTGGGTCTACACTCGTCCTCCTCCTCCTCCTTCTCCTCCTTTTCCTCCTCCTCCTCCTTCTCCTCCTCGGCTGTCCTTTTTCTGCTCCCGCTCCAGGGGGGGAGACGGGGAAATTAAGGGAAAGGAAAGGGTTCCAGGATGGAGGAGGAGGAGGAGGAGGAGGAGGAGGAGGAGGAGGACCAGGAGCAGGAGAAAGGGAATGAGGAAGGAAAGGCGAAGCTGGCCGGGGAGATTTGCACACCAAGCTCCCAAGCCCTCGTTCCTGGCATGCCCCCTGCTCGGGATGGCATCTCGTGGTAGGTTGAAGCGTTCTGTTCCGCAGCCGGCCCTCGAAACTGGCTGAAGCCCCTTCCTGGCCCTGGGCGCCAACGGGTCACGAGGCCCGCGCCCCTGGCTGCCCAAATGATGTACCTGCCAGGCAGTTCCGGTCGGCAAGGGGAACGGCAGCGAGCAGGCCATGGCACCGCATGGCACAAGACGAAGGGAGGCGCGCCAGTACCAGCAGTGCTCATGCTGCCGCGAGCCGCGGCGCGAAGCGCACGGGGCTGCAGGCTGCGGCGGGCTGCCGTTGTCGGCCGTCGTACTTCGCGTCCGCGTGTGGGGGGCAGGGAAAGGGGGCGGGGGGGGGGGGGCACGCGGACGCGCTGGGAAGAAGCGTGGGCCGGGAGCACGAG